CTGTTTTTTTTTTTTCAGTTTTGACCCTTTTATGTAGCTATTCATTCTGACATTCGATGATAATAGGACAAACAACCTGTAAAGACGGAAGTGTCGGGCGACGCGCAGATCAATCCGCCCGCCAACTCCAAGGACGACAATGACGCAAGGCAGGAGACAGAGGATATGACGGAGATACTGGAAAGGCTGAACCTTGCAGCAGACAATAACCGTGTTTTCTCGGTCAGTGAAGAGATGCAGGAACTTCTGCGCAAGTTCAAGTTGATCTTCAAGGACTTGATAAACGGGGTACCGACTGCGTATCATGACCTCGAGATGCTCCTTACCAACGGCAACACGCAATTGCAAGGTGCATATTCTAAGCTCCCGGGGCCGATACAGAAGCTCATCGAAAAGCTTCCAGAGCGCTGGACGGAAACTTTGGCGCCTGAGATGATCGCTGTGGCAAGTGAAAGGGCCGCGAAGAGCGGTGTTAATATAGATAACATTGGAAAGGCAGCCGCAGCTGCCAATAAGATGGGTATTAAGGTTCCCAGCCTGAAAGAACTGGTTGGGAAACCGGCGGCTATTGTCGGCATGCTACGATCGATCATGGCGTTCTTACGAGCTCGATTCCCTGCTGTGCTGGGCATGAATGTGCTTTGGTCATTGGCTCTATCTAGTGAGTGTGATTAGAAGATTTCTACTCTCGGTCTGCAATTATTTAGCGAAACATGCTGACAGCTGCGTCACACAGTTCTTTTGTTCGTTCTTTGGTACTGCCATAAACGTGGTCGCGAAGTCCGCCTCGAGAACGAACGTCTCGTCACCGAGGAGGAGATAGAAAAGCTGAACGAGCAGTCTTCGTCTGACGAAAGAATTCGAACAACCGAGACTCTCACTACAACAGCCCCGCAAGGTGCTTCGGCAGCTGAGATCCGGGAGGGCGTGAAAGATGCCCAACAATCCCGTGAGAGAGTTATTGCTGCAGCTGAAAGTACACAACCGGAGAAGAGCGATGCGAAGGACAATAACTACAAGCCGACGAGATCAAAGTCAATTTTAGCCATTTGGGGCAGATCAGGCCAAAAGCCGGAACCAGCTACAAAAATTCAGCCATATCCGGGAACGTGATCATCCCTTCTTGTTTCACTATTTGTTTCGATCTTGATGTTTCCTATTTGCTGGTTTCGTGTCTGGGCTGGCAACTTGGGGTTATTTTTCGATACCACTGTTTACTTCACGAAGCTTTTATGGTCATGATTACAGGATAACGACACAGAAACGGGCCTCTAATTTCTTGGTACTAAGGATTTTAGTTTATGCAGATGATCATGACGATTCCATTTTAAAAATACGAGCAATATGACATTGTCTTCTTCAGCCAGTCATGTAGCATCGGGGTGCGATGAGTAATCGCTCTCGGGGCAAAGAAAAATGGAAGTAAAAAGCAACGAAGCACTTGGGGGGTAGAGAGGACGTCAAATTTGGCCACCTGCTCTATTCAAAGATAGCACCTAATCTCCCGTGAGCCATGGAATGGAATCGGTCCGGCCAGAAATTGCGGATTTGCGGTCCCGAGTGGCAACTCAACGGGTTCCATGAGGCTTACTGGAAGGTCGGCATCAATCCGGCCCATCCTCGCGTGCCGGAATTTTCTGGAAGATCGGCTCCGCGCTAACTGGACTCATTTTACTCCGTACAGACCCTCGCGACAGCCTGCACATGTGAAGCACATGAGGCAAGACGCTTTGAAGTTACTGCTAAACAGTACTCTAGTGCTTCGTACTAAAGTGGTGCACTGTATGGTATGTTTAAGGCATGGATGCTTCCATAGTACGCTGGAAAATATGTCGACGGGTGCGGGGTGCAGAGAATGAGTATGCATTGGCCAATGGAATCTTCGGGGGTTGCCGATCATGAGTAAGTGATAGGGCCTAATGGACATAAATGGTTAGTGAAGCCTGGTATCATACCAAAAATTACCGTCTTGATAAAGCTGACGGCTACTTAGTACTACCTACTTAGGTACTACTAGGTGAGAAGGACCTCCTTGCTGAAGGTTCAATACTTCGAGATAGTATAGTATAAAAAGTACTCTACATGCCACATGATGTTTAGCTACCTCCAGGCAGTTAGTACACTGGATGGTGTCTTCTAACCGTTTGTGTAGCGCCCGTGAAAAGCTGGCCGTTAGAAGCATTGTTGTTCGTAAGAGTAATATCAAACCACCGATGTGGGGACGGACAACTGTACGTACATCCGGAACATTCTGGACTAGAAATGCAGGTGATTCCTGGCATCTGTACTTATAGTAGTTGGACGTTACCCAATAGATTCAGGGTTCACGAGCTGCTGTTGCAACCGGACTCGGATTAATCTCCTAGTTTATGCCCATGTGTGTATTAATTAGTGTACCCATTGTATAGCCCACTGCCCAGGATTGAGCCATACCGGATAGCGCGCCTGCATGGCCCATTCATCCTGCATATAGATAATCAGTTCCACGATTCGGCAACCATTCCAATGCAGCCAGCTGTCCCCTTACCGCCCCCTTGGTCCAATCAGGCCATGCATCATGCGCACCAGTGTCGACTACAAAAGGCTAGTTAAGTATTTTAGGTGAGTAAGTAAGTATGTACATGTACGATCTAGGTAATAATAGGTACTCTTACTCCATCAAGTAGCTACCTAACTCCTAATCCTTCCTGCTGCCAGGTAATGGGCAGTGTTGTCGTGTCATGTCCTGACAGCGGCAACGGCGGGAATTCGCCTCTAATGAACCTCGATATAGCTTTCCTACCCCTCTCCTTGTGTTATTGTCCTATGCTTGCCACTGTGGAGAGAGATGGTGAAAATATGAAGCAAGAGGGACGACAGTCGTCCGATCAGACCAGGAAAAAACAGTAAAATAGAATTTGCAAATGAATCATTACTTCAGTCGCTGGCGCGGTAGATGGCCGCCGCTAGTGGCGGACCTCGGCCAATCCGAATCAGGATTGGAGGTAAGAGAAAATAATAGTACAGACATTTCAATATGGAGGGACCATTGTAATTCGACTGTCCTCCGCAGCTTTCCAACGAACCGCGGACAAAATTTCATACTGCCACTCGCAGATACATGGTTTGTTATTCTTTCTGACTCATATGATGAATCATTTTTCTCGGGCAAATACAGTTGTGATCTGGAGATGGATGATGTAGTGTCTGCAGGCTCGTGCAGGAAGCACGGTTCAAAGAAAGCCCCCTGACTTGATGGGGCATGTAAGTATGTACTTAGCCTGTACATATTCCTGTCCCATCTTTTAGGCAATGCTTTTTCCGTCGAACGTTTGGTAATTTTACGGAGATTTTGGCGCATCCGTTGGAAGATCGCTTCTTACATACTTGATATCGCATTCCACATGACCCCTCATTGGGGGTGGGAGGCTCAGAAGAGATCTACATTCCTCTCACCTACAGGGCTATTGGTAGTTCGTGTGTTCTTATCCCGTATTGGGTTGTGGAATGGTTTCGAAGGAAGATAGACGTACGTATGTCGGAAATGTAGGAGATTTAAATCGCTGTCACGGTTGTCGGAAGAAGAAACATGCCTCGTAAATGAGGCACCCTGCTCCCCTTTTCGCTTGTCTGACCATCCGATTATTTTCGTCGCAAGGCAATTTTTCATTTGTAGACAAAAGAGCGGGCCAAGCGCCCTGTATCTCTGACATGGCAAAACGCAAAACTGAGTGAGTGTCGTTATTGATGGATCATCGACGCAAGCTGCAGAATAAGGTACCCAACGGAAATCCTCCTGTACAGAGTACAGTACCTACATCCATATCAGTTCTCCTTTCGAAGTCCTTTTCGTGACTACTTTAGGTACCCTTGTATATCCGAGGATCGTGACTCAACTTCAGCAGTGAATCTAATCGATCTGGTCAAAACCGTATTCCATTACTGGCTGTTCAAGTCACGATGACTGATGAATATCGCCTCAAATCAAATCTTTTACAGATCCATTCATTCATTGGCCCCGGCCGCTAGGAGAATCCGTAGGTAAGAAAAGAGAAATCTACTAGTACTACGAGGAAGTGAAGGAAAACAAAAAAAAAAAAAGAGAAAAGAGAAGAAAAGAAAAAAAGATGCGGTGAACACCTACCGGCCAATGACAATGCATGTTTTAGTGGTTCCTGGCCAATCAAGGATGACAATACTGCGACCGGGTGATGCAAGCTCCACCATGATTGGAAAATTGGCCCGCCCCATCCCCAAGTCCGTTCCGTCTTGTAACGGACCAGTGACGGCGGTGGTACAGTCCGCTAGCTGATCTTCTGTCTCCCTTCTCTTTCTCCCGGCCTTTTCTTCTTCCAAAACATCCCAATCCACCCCTCATTCGATCTGCCATCCCAACGTCGCAGATTCCCCTCCTTTTACACGCTATAAGAATTCTTTTCACTGTCCTTACCAACAAATATCGTCATAAGTTCGTTGCCAAAATGGCCTTCGTTGAGCTGTAGATTCCTCGCTGGGGGGCACGACAGTCTTTTCCTGCTCCCCAGTCCAGCAGCTCCGAGTTTCCTCAATCGACTTGACGATATTTGTTTTCTCTTTCGACGCAAAGTCTTGCAGCGTCGAGATTGCCCCCAAGTACAGTTACAGAAGAAGCACATTAACGTCCGCGGTGGACGGTGAGGTGCTTTCACGCTCGAAAAGTTCTTCTCTATTGTTCTGATACAAGCCTCCCCCCTCTTCTTATCCGATCCCTGACCTTTCACCACCTATCCTTCACCTCTGTCAAACGATAACGAAACATTACCCTGACCTTTCCAACGCTATAACGAATTGACGGCCAAGAAAAACAACAAACTTGCCTTGATCATCCGCTTATACCCACTACGGAATCTCTGACGCAATACACTGCGGCTTGCAAACGGGTAACAAAACTTTGTCAACCCAAGGTACCCCAAACCAATTTGGGCCCATTTGAACCGTGCTTTTATCAATTATCATTTCTAAACAATACCATTGTCGACGCAATGCCGCCAACCGCTTACTCTCCTAAGCGGTCTTCGAAGGATGTCGGCAGGGAGAACCGCAATCGCAACTCGAGTCCCATGTCCCGCATCGGACAACACTCTCCAAGAATATCAAACAAGGCTATTTCCCTTGGGTCACTGGTGGCTGATAGGAAGCGGAGGGCTTCCTCATCCGTCTCCAGCGTGTCGTCCGTCTCGTCTGTAGAGCTCAGCGACGATGTAAACGAGTCAGATGCTGATGACGAAGAGGACCCACCTGCTGCCCGTGGCCCGTCTTATGGCCGTCGTGACAAGGCTCATAAGGCGGGAATGAAATCTACAAAAAGAACGAAAAAGATGAGGTTATCGGACGATGACAGCTACGATGGCCAAAAGAGTAGTGGCGATAATGACTCGGAAGATAGCTCCGATGATGTTTACGCAGCAGTTGACTACATTAGCGATGGAGACGATGATGAAGATGTCGATGTAGAAAAGTTGGAAGAACTGTTGATCGTGGAGTCAGAGGATGAGCATGATTTCAATGGCATCTTGACAGCCTCTACTGTCAGCGTCGCCAACTCCCACGATTGGGCGGGCCCCAATGTGTTTGATGACCACATGCTACTTTCAGCTGCGTCGTTCTTTGATGAAGAGCAGCTCTACAGCGCTATGGAAGCCTTCGGGGAGACCGACATGGCCAGTGAAACGGCCGTAGAAACACCGGTTCCCCGCCGGGTGCATTTTGAAGAAGACTCGGATTCATCGTCCGATAGCGATTCCCATACTGAGGATGAAATCCCGGGTGACTTCCTCCAGCAGGACAGTCTTGATCCTCAACTACGTCGTATGATTGAGAATGACAATGAGACGTACAATAACCGCCGTCGGCAGTCCGATGAACTGTTCGCGGAGTCCGACTATGGCCATTCAAACATTTATCACGTTGAGTCGGATGCTGTCTCCGAGGAATCGGAGTCAAGCGGATACGAGAGTATGCAGACACCTATGGAAATTGAACTTACCATGTACTGACCGACTTGAAGCCGATGATGGCGAGACTACAGATGAAGACCTTCCCCCGCCAGCAACAATTACCCATCCTCGCTCTATCCTACGCCGCGACTCCTCAGCTTCTCTCCAAGCTACCACTGCTGAAGAGACGAATGATTCGACTTCCCGTCGGCGAGGTCCCATAATGGGAACCTTCGTTGCGGATCCCCACAAGCCTGTTGCACTCGTGGACTGCACGGGCAAGCACCTGGTGATTATTCCTGCATATGCCTCCTCTCGCCATGACTGGCTTGAGTCTGCCACAAATAGCATCTGTGGCACGGCTAATAATAGCCCGCGGGCAACCACAATGCACCTCGTTGATGAGAGTGACACAGATGCGCTCGCATCACCGAATCACGTTGACCTAAGCCCAATGTTGGCTTCTAGCGCTAACCTCATGATGACGGCCCTTGGAAATGAGGTAACCACCGGTGGTCAAGTCATGGGTCCTCCCGAGGCCTTCTACCCGTCTCGTGACTTTGCCATTGATAGTTCATTTGAGGATGATGAAGAGGATGACCCCGAGGCTGCTTTGAACGTCGATGATTTCATTGACTTTGGTAATGGCTCATCCGATGACGATATGGACAAGGAATTCGACGATGATGCACTGGCCTCGCCGATGGCGGCGCCCACCATCCCAGCTGCTGCCAGTACACCAACCCCTAATCGCAATGGGGATTCACAAACGAACAGTGCGGAGCGTTTCTTGAATCACCTGGACCGTGGTATTGTGACGGCTTTCCGTCGTAATCACAATCGGTACCAGGCACTGCTGCGCCTCCCACAACACCGGGAGTTCATGCCAGCAAACTCACCGTCTCGACCAGCCAGTGTCTTTAGACACGCAAAACATGCGGATCAACGCACGCCTACGCGGAAACGTAAAGCGAGCGGTTACAATGGCGGCGAGGCGGTCCGACGGAAGCTGATGGATGCCCACCGTCGTAGCCAACTTCCTTTCTAGGAATTTAACAGCAAACATCTTAATGTAAAGACGTGCCTCTCTTACTCTTGCGATACCCATCACTGTTATGACCACTTATGTCTCGAATTTACTGGCACGTTTGCCACGGCAGAGCTATCATTTCTTCTTTTTGTTCCCAAACCTTACGGAGTCTGTGTTAGCGGCATAGACATCCCCGTCAGGGGCCAGGGTTTTGGCTCCGTTTCAGCTGATAAAAGGTTCGACGGCTGTTTGTTTTTTTTTTTTTTTTTTCCTTTGGATGGAGCGGGCATCTAGACCAAGGTTTGATTGATTGATTAAGACCGGTCTGTGTGTATGGGAGGCTTTGCGAGGAAATCCATTTCGGTTGAGGAAAAGCCGGTGATGGAGTTTGAAGAATCCGATGGCCAAAAGTTTACGTGGTTTTTCTATTGGAGTCGGTGGTGATGCTATATTTGGCGAAGGGGATATACGGCTCTTGTTTACTCTGATCTGTCGATGTGTCTCCCCTTTTATTTTCTTTGTTCTAGGTCTGTCACGTTACAAACCTCGCGTAGATAATATTTTTTATCAATGTGAAAAAAAAAAAGTTTAAACAAAAACCAAAGGAGAAGCGTAAGGGATCGTTCTATGTCGTAGGCAGCAAGGAAATGATTATTTGATTCCTAGGGAGGTGCAGGGTAACATTGTGGCTTCAAACAACGGAGGTCCGCGGAAGAAAGCTCTGCTACGTCAAAACAAGAGAGCTAAGACAACTTGGTACTACATCTCGTCAGTAGTTCATGCCATTGGGTCGTGCCCTGGACTTCTCATGGGAGGAGAGGCAGACAAGATACCACTCCATGCAAGCCACCGCCCTCGGCCTCGGTTGAGGATGCAACCCATGGATCCGTTGAGCATCGTGCGACATGCCAAGCAAGCACCCTCGATTTTTCCAGAGCCGAAGGTGCACCGAGTACTAGTATTCTATGATGTGTGCAATGCTGTCGGAGCATAACTGATGTGGCGCCTTACCTCATGGCAGGGTATGGCCCCTGAGTCGGGACGGTATTTCCTCGGTCGAGAACATTTTTCCCTTGATCAAAAGGAAAAAGAAAGAAAAAAAGGTTCCCAGCTGGTTTCACCATGCTTCCCCATTCTGCGCGAGAAGAAATGATAGGTCGCAAACCACCTGTGGCTGATGCAGTGATCATCTGATTCGTTCGCACCCTACCCTGAATGGGGGAGGTGCTCAGCAGTTCAAGGCCAGGTCAAGAGCTCCCTGGGGAAGGAAATCCAGTTTGTTTGTTGTCTTCGGAGCTACTTTGCTCATTATCTGTGCCTCGCTGGGTTCACCCTATTGAAGTTTAATCGTAGAGCGTGAAAGAGTTAATCGGGGGTTCAAAGGATGGGTTCGGGCGGCTCGTGATCCGGTCCGGGCGGTTAATCGACGCTGGGGGGAGGGAAGAGGGTGCGTGGTGATATCCATGCTAGGAAATTTGTCAAAGAATCGAGAACCCTATAATTAGTTCCCGTGAAATTAGAGGCTTCGGGGACCCTCTCACACTGGCTGAGTTTCAAGCGAGACGGTCGCCCATTCTGGCCCTACTGTGAACCCTCGACACTTATGCAACGATTCTGATAATGGGTGCGGGGTGATTGTAACCCCTTCGTGGTGGCTTTGTGTCTCTCCACGGAACCTTCGATCTATCAATTGCATATTTTACATCATTCCCTCCTGGGATTGATCGCAATTTCGATTTGATTCTGGACTGGGCACAGCGGTTCGCCACCACCGCTTCCTGTTTGTGTTGTCGTTGTATTTTCTTGTTCTTATTCTACGTACTATCTAGTCTGCCCTGAGAGGAAGGACCCTCTGCCGATCCGGCGGCTGTTGGAGCGATCATCACCGTTTGTTTTCCTTCCCCATAGGCTCGACTAGATCTTATCCTCACACCTGTGCGTCTGAAGACTTGACTACCGCATATCGGCATTTGCTGTCCATTCTGCAGACGAAGAAGTCTCTTAATTGGCGATCCAGGGCGCATATTTTTCCTCTCCCATTTGCAATGCGTAGGACATGTGGAAATAATGCAGCCTGGTGGGGACGCGTGATTGGAGGAGTGGATCGAGGTACCTGCACTAGTGGGACAGCGCGGCAGTCGATGATTGGTGGCTCAGCTATACTTTAGGGTCATTGTTGTCGGACAAGAAAAAATAAAAATAATATTCAGGAATAATGGAGAACCAGTAATAGGAACAGGACTGGAGTCAGTAGTAGTAGTAGTAAGGCCAAAAAAGAATTATCCATGCATTACCGAATAAAAATAGGGTCCAGCGAAAATAAAAAAGAGAAAAAAAGAAAAAGAAAAATCAAAAAAGAAAAACCCCAAGACACGACAAATGAAACCTTGACCGGTTTATAATAAGTAGTAGTCGAAGCCCCTCCGGAGACCCTGGAACCCTTCTGTTTCCATCTGTTCACTCTTCCTTTTTCCTTTTCTCTCTTTTGGCCGTTGTTATACTATTGCATCTCTTTGACTCAATCCACTCGTTCATCTCGGGGTTCACCTGGTGGCCCGTCTTTCGTTATCTCATTGTTACGGTGTTGTTGTTATTGCTGGTCGAGAATAATAATACTGAACTATACTACCGTCTTCTTCGACTACTACTACTTCTACTTACTACTTATTACTTTCGTCTTGGCTTTACCTCCATTCGTTCCATCACTGGCTGGTGACCTCAGTAGCCATGAAGGTTACTACTTCAGTTGCACTCGCCTCCCTCCTGGCCATGGCCCAGGCTCATCCCTCGGGCGCCGTAAGTGCTCATGCATAAAGAGACCCGCCGATCCCAGACTGACGATTCTCTAGTGGTGGGGCACGGATGATTGCTATACTAGCCCGGATAATACCAATAATGAATGCTCTGACGAGATGCGCGGTGGATTCAACTGGGCTGGCCTCACCGCCGGTTCTTTTGACTTCTTCGCTGGCTTCGCATTCTCTGGGTTCTCTTTCAGCAGCAGCTTCAGTGCTGCTATTGGTGGTGGCTTTGCCGTAAGTGGACACGGACTGGCGGATATAATGATGCCCATACTAACGGCTTCAGGGCCAATGCATCGAGTCGAATCTCTCCAAGGATGATGAGACGTCCCCAGAGATCTCGTCCGGCAGCGATAAGACCTTCTCCATCAGCAAACTTCACCTGGTGACCGCCAAGGACGCTGAGATCAAGATCATCTATGACATGCCTGACGGTTCTTCCTGCAAGCATGTCGCCCCGTGCTCTCCGAAGGGAACCGTTGTCGCCAACGACCAGTGTGGTGGTGCCAGCTCCGTCCGGTTCGAACTCGCAGAGGAGGCCGCCGTCGATGCTGTAGTCTTCGGTATCCAGAATATCGAGTTTGAATGCTCCCCTGGCCAGAAAACTCCGACCCCCTCTCATCCTCATACAAGTCCGACTGCGACTGGACACTCGTCTACTCCAGTGATTCCAGTACCGTCCTCGTCTGATGCAGTCACGCCTCCGGCTCCTAGCACTCCCGTCAAGATGACCACATCTACCGTGTATACTACAAGCCTGATCACCATCACAAGTTGTGCTCCAACCGTTACCAACTGCCCTGGAGATTCGACCACGGTTGTTACTTCCACTATTGCTGTCTCGACTACTGTCTGCCCGGTCACTTCGACTGAAACTCCCGCGAAGCCTACTGAAACCCCCGGAAAGCCCACTGGAACCCCTGGGAAGCCTACTGGAAGCTCCCCAGTTGGTGGTTCCTCCGAGGTTCCCTCTCCGAGCAGCCCCGCTCCCACAGGTACTGCTAGTACTTCATCGAGCGTCCACCCAACTAGCCATGGTGGATCTTCTTCCCTCCCTCCAGATTCAACCACAACTGTGGTGACATGGGAAACCCTGACCACTTGTCCAGTGACTACCACCGCTACTTCTGGCGGCGTCACCACTACTTCCGTCTACAGCACGGTGTCCACGGTCACCCTTACGTCGACATCTACCATTTGCAACAAGTGCACTGCTACTCCTCCGACTGGCAAGCCTACCGTCACTCCGACTGGAACCTCTCCTACACCGACAGGTGTTTCCCCCGAGGAGCCTCCTGAGGATTCCACCACGACCGTCGTTACATATACCACCGTGACCGACTGCCCAGTAACTACCACGGCTACCGCCGGTGGCACCACGACCACTTCCGTCTACACGACCCAGTCAACCGTTACGCTGACCTCGACCTCCACGGTGTGCACCAAGTGCTCCTCTACTCCAACTCCTACCGGAGTTGCGCCTATCAGTACTCCTGCCGGGGGTGCAACGACGGTCGTCACATATGAAACCGTGACTACTTGCCCTGTTACTACTACCATCACCTCCGGTGGCTCCACCACTACATCTGTCTTCACTACCATCTCGACGGTGACCAAGACTTCCAGCTCTGTCGTGAAGCCCACTGGTGTCCCCTCTTCACCCCCTCCATCAACGGAATGCCCTAACTCGGTGCCCAAGTGTATCAACACCTGGCTCCCTCTTCTACCCAAGTGTACTTCCAACGCGGATCCCGGTTGTTTCTGCCCGAACCACGAGTTCACAGACAAGGTCATCAGCTGTATTCAGGCATGGGGTGCTTCCAAAGAAGAGATCCAGTCCGCGCTCTCCTACTTCGCCGGTATCTGCGCCCCCTATGTCCCTGGAAACCCAGGCATTGTCACTGGCATTCCGAGCACCATCACTCTGATCCCCACTCCTGCCCCCACAGGTGTCGCCCCTGTGACCGGCACCAGTGCGGCACCACTCCCAACTGCCGCTCCAGAGGTTCCTCGCACGACCATCACCTACTCCACCTACACGGTGACCGTGCCCCAAGTGACCTTCAGCACCGGCACCTCCGGCCACTCGACCACCGTCGGCTTGATCCCGGGCCCTGCCCCAACCGGCGTATCCCCAGGTCACTCCTCGGGCATCCCGAACCCATGGGTCTCCGCCTCGTCCACCTGGATATCCAGCCACCGTCCTAGCTCGACAGCCAACCCGTCATCCACCCAGACCCCTCCTCCCCTCGCTAACACTGCCTCCTCTGTGTCCACTAGCTTCTGGCTGGCTATGGGAGTTGCCGCTCTCTTCAGCATCTTCTTCTGATCATAACGCTCCTTTTACTTGTTCAATCTTGCTTTCAAAGACCATGTTACTTATCCCTGTTTCTCAGTTTGTTAATAGGCTGTGACATATAGGTCACTGAGATGAACCTGGATAGTAAATGTATCAAGTCTCTTTTCTTTAAATACACGATGCATGATGTGCTTCAAGTCTTGGTTCCTGATAAACCATGCAATAATCCCATTCTCATGGCAGGGTACCTTAATAACCCAAGAAACACAACCAGCCAGGAACCTTTTACGCAACCCTACAGTATCCTATCGAATCAAAAGGGGAAGGAAAGAAGAAAAGAAAACCACCCAGTATATCCATGTATACTTACTACATACTATTTTTCTGGTTTATTTCTTAGTATTGTATTCAATACAATGTGTTACAATCAATTTACTAAGTGACTAATCCTATAACTATTCTATCTTAGAGTCTAACTAACAACCACGGAAGATACTTATGCACGGGTCATATGTTGAACAGGGATACTCCACTCTATTGCTAGATAGATTACTAGTAGTAGTAACAGTAATAGTACCGGTAGCCGGTAAAAGGTAAGGTGCTTAACAAAAAAAAAGTAAGTATTAAACCCCAAATACGCATATACAGAAGCAGAGAAAAAAAGAGAGAGAGAAAGGAGTCCGCAAAGAAAGAACCGATTTGGAATAGCAAATATAGACTGAGGAATATACCCTAACATCTACCCTGTACTATTTTAGGTATAATGAGGTATATACATGATCTGTTGCTTGTTTTTTTGGTTGGGTGTGTATGACTGTCGGTGTTGGATGATCAGCCTAGCTTCGGAGGGCTGAGCGCCCACAGCGATGATAAGCCAACGATGAATGATAACCACAGCTAGCCGCACGGCTCCTAAATGGGAGCGCCATGTTGAGAGGTAGAGATAGAGACAAGGCAGATTTATTTACTGTTTCAGGAGGGATCAAAAGTTAATGAAAATGAGTCTTGGAGACACAATCAATTTTGACGTAACTTACAGTGTGAAGAACCCTGAGTACTAGTAGTTACCAAAGAGCTGTTAATAAAACAATCTAGACAGTTGTTGGGGCGATATACGCACCAGTCACGAGAATTGTCGCGCTTTGACAGAGATCATTTCTGGCACCTTGCGCACGTGGAAGTATTGAGATTTGAGGGGCCTGAGGTACTATGATTTAGTGTTACCCCTCACATCTAGAAATACCCCCTGCACTTGCCTTCGCACTTGTTCTTTTCTTTTCTTCTTCTTCTTCTTCTTCTTCCCCTCCCCAGCTTAACCCACTATGCATCCCCAAACCCCCACAGACTCTCCGGCACTAGCGAACCGACCGCCCATCCGCCCGTGCCCAGCGGGGCGCATGTCACGTTCCCATATATTTCCAAGTCTCCACCATTCATTCTCTCTACCCCTTTGGCTTTGATTCTCTACCTATATCCTACAAAGAACTTCAAATACCTTGCCACACTATACAGAACCTATGTATAGGGACCGAAGTTACTGAAAAGTGGCTAATTTTGCCACCTAGTCAAGGTCAGTCAATCTTGGACTACTGTAGTTTAAATATGAACGGCTGTTTGATACCATAGCCTGGCACATCTTAATGTGGGGGGGGGGGGGGGGGGGGCTCGCAGTCCCCCTTGCTAAGGTGTAGATTAGATAACTTAAGTTGACTTTTACTTGACTCTCCGGTTTATCTTTTTGGCTTGGACGGTATCTCCCAATATTTATTATTACAGTAGCGCCTGGCCTTTTTATAAGTATCTTAAATTGACAGTCAAATCTTAGGTTACTGTATCATTTGTAATGAATCGGTCTATCAGAACACACACTACTATAGTGCCCGTAGCGCACGCGGGGATCCAGGAAAGCCATGGGCGTTCAGCCGAGCCCAGATCCCAAAACCAACAGGACAACACTGTCCAACCTATAATTCCCACTGCTAGGGCGGACCTAGCATTTTCGTCTCCGATTAATAGGGGCACTGTTTTTCGACCGGAGACTCTTATCTCCCTCAATGTCCTAAAAAATCCTGAGCGTGAACAGTTATCGAAATTGCACCAGCGAGAACAAGGAGCCACATGAATGCTTTCATATTGCCAGAAAGAACTGAATTATTTGTTGCAACCTCTAGTGGGCCAGCAAAGAAGCACGCGACCCCAACACCATTAAGCAAATTCTTCAATAGTGGGTTTGATGCACCATTCCATTCGTTGTACCACAAACAGAAAGATACCCCCAGAATACAAATCGCAGAGGCAGAGCGCTGATTATGGAGAGTGAAAAGAAACAGATTGCTCCATGACCAGAGGAATATTTCAGGTAAAGAAGCCAGTATTTGGCCGAAAGACAAGGAGGCATTCAATGCCCCAAATAAACGCCCCAGGCAAATGATATCTTTGATGTTATCGCAGACAAATAGATGGGCAGTGTATGCATGATAGCATGATAATGATAGGAAAGACGCCATGTTTGTAGATATGATGGACGTCACGCCCAGGCTGTCAAATAGAATAGGAAAACTGGAGTAGTGTCTCTTAGCAAGCCGTCGTGTACCAGTGTCCACGACCTTGACTGCCCTTATTCATCCAGAGCCGCAATCAACTCAGCGTGGAATGACGCCAGCTCGAAGGCTACTTTCGGATCAGGCAACCAACAAAGCCTACACGTACTAACTGACAAGGAGGTAATCCGTCAGAAGTGGAGTTGTATGACAAGAGACCAACACACCTCAATGTCGGCCCCGAGCCTTCCAAGGTTGCATGCATGAGGCCAAGATGCATGGAGCCGAACATGGGCCGTGATTGTTGGGAGTCACAAGGTAGGCGTCTGCACGAAGCTGGGATTCTGGGACTGCGTGAACTCGAGACCGATAATAATTGGCCCAAAACCAAGACTGCTATACTACTATTATTGAGTCAATTTTGGAGGGTTTGTGAGTTAATAAGAATTGGTAGTTATGCTGCGTAAAAGTCTCCCACATGCACCAAGGTTCTAACCCTGTAAGGCTCTAATTGCCACCCGCTAAGTAAGGCTCCTCAATTCTACTCTCCAGCATCATCATCATACACTGTAATTTACGACGCTGGAATGCCCTCAGTCAGCACCGAACCCTCGCCGCCGATATTTTAAGCCACTTTTACACTGATAGCTCATTATCAAGTCGTATTCTAACTTAGAATCCTACGTTCTCAAGGCTAATATACGCTTTCCCTTAAGCCATCGATACTCTTAAGGTTAGGACTCTTAGGTTTCAACCTATCCATACTTCAATACAGTCCTCCATTCTCCAGTTCCAATGCTAGGGTAATATGTCCGTAGCAAAGCCCGCAAGAATTATCGCGGCCCTCGGTTTCATGTTAACGAGCGGTTCGTTGTAGTTTGAAATGGGACCATAACAATGCTAAACTGTCGATCCAGTACTTTTGGGCGGGGTGGAACTGGCATTGGTGGAGCTAATGATAGTATTTCCATGTGGTATTGATAAAATCGGTTTCTTTGTTTACTATTATAATACGGGGAGATAATTCAGCTAGTGCCAATATCTATATGTATTTCACGCCCACGGATCTCTCTTTTCTTTTCAACAAGTCACTTGCTACGCTCGCAGCTCGATTTTTTTTTCTTTTTCTTTTTTCTTTTTCTTTTTCTTTTATATATATATATAT